AGAAATTAAAGGAATTTATAATAATCAGTCCTTTGTACTGAGAACCAACAACAGACAACAACCTGAGACTGACATACATAGCAACATCAACCAAAATTCAATCCAGATATGTTGTTGTTGTTGTTAGCTGCCACCAAGTCGGTTCCAACCCACAGTGACCCTGTATAAGTTTCCAAGGAGCAGATGGTGAGCTTAAACCACTGACCCTGCAGATCAAACTGACTGTGCAGTCCAGCACATTAACGCACAGCACCACACCAGGACTCCAATCCGGATAGAGTAGTATCCAAAGTAAAACAAATCTAAAAGACTGGAAATAAGTAACCAAGATAACAATTTATAATGAAAAGAACTACAAAGCAAAAAAAGAGGGAAAAGTATAGTTACAAAACTTTCAAATGGTGAGGAAGTCAAGTGGATTTCAAGATAAAATAGACTGTTTAAAACTTGAGAAGAATTTAATAAATTACAGGATAATCTCAAAGAAAACAAATACACTATCACAAAAGGAAAACCATGACAAGTTAGTAAACATTGAAACAACAGAAATGAAGAAACTGGCAAGAAAACACACAGACAACATGAACTCAGCACAGAGAAGCATGTGGAACAAAGAAACCAGAAACAGCACACAACAGCACAGTGTAATAAGTGAAAACACACCTATTGATAATTACCCAGATTATCATTGGATTAAATGAATCAGTAAAGAGACAGAGAGTAGCAGAATGGGAAAGAAAACAGGATCCTTCAATATGCTATCTACAAGAGACACACACCTTACAGACAAAGAAAAAAATAGACCAAATAAAAGAATGGGAAAAGTATATCAAGCTAAAAGCAATAAAAAATGAGTAAGAGTGGCAATATCAATTTCTAATGGAATAGACTTTAATGCAAAAACCAGTGTAAGAGACAAAGGACATTATCTCATGATTAAAGGGTCAGGTGATCAAGAGGACATAACCATAATAATATCTATGCTCCCAGAGAAAACGCACATATCAGACTCTAATAGAATTGAAGAAAAAAATACACAACTCTACCATAATAGCGGTGGTGGTGGTGGTGGTTATGTGCCAAGGAGTCAGTAGGCAACTTTAATACACCACTTCCGACGAAGGGCAAAACAACTATAAGGAAGCTCAACAAAGACACAGAAGAGTTAAACAACACAATCAATTTGTCCTCATAGATTTATGCAGAGCATTCAACCCAACAAAAGCTATCACAGACACACAAAAAGCACACTAAACATTCTTTTCCAGTGCACATGGACCATTCCCCAAAATAGACCATACGTTAGGACACAAAGCAAGCCTCAATAAATTGAAAAACATTGAAATACTACAAAGCACTTTTAAGAATATAATGTAAAATTCGAAATCTATAATAGAAAGATCAAAGGGAAAAGTTAAATACATTAAAGGCAGCCAAATTGGCAAAGAAGAAGTAAAACTCTCTCTATTTGCAGATGGCATGATCCTGCACACAGAAAAGTCCAAAGACGCAGCAAAATTTATTGGACCTCTATTAAGGAATTCTTATCATGACTGACTGAGATTGTTGCAACTGTAAAGGTAATCATTTTGTAGCAAAAAGAGGGGAGTGGCTAATCTTGCAGTCCAGGAGGAGAGGACCCTGGGACCGCAAAGGGAAAAGAGCAAGGACAGAGTGTTGGGCCCAGCAGTGATGCCAGAGATGGAGGCAGAGATGATGATGTGGAGAGATGGAGTGGCTGGGGTCTCTAGACTCATGGAGGGAGAGGGCTGTGTGCTGGCGGCCAGGGAACAGGATTGAGGGGTATGCC